ATCTCCCTTGTATCTGTTTTCTTCTTGAATTTTCCTGTTTCCTACCACTTGTCGTTCTTTCGATCATAGCAGCAACATTTTCCTCGGAGGCAATTGCGACCCCCTCGAGGATCAAATACGACCCCCCCCCCCTCCCTTCGTTTGAAATACCCAACGTGTGATACGCCTTGTATATAATAAATATTATCAAGGTGGAGTAATTGCAATGCATGAACAGACAAAGATGGCCAAGGCTCCCTACGAGCCACAATCACACCAAACGATAAAGTTTTACTTGAACAGCTGTCCTAATCCTTCTTGATCGCTCTCGATGTGGTCAGCAAGTCTACCTGGAGTAGCAACAACGACATGTGGACGAGCAGTCAACTCGTTTGCTTGGTCCACCTTAATGGAAATCAATGAATGGTTGTTAAGATTTGATCCATATATTGGCCCGGCTCGGCTTTCGAGGGGCACCAAATGGTACATACCGAAACTGGTTCAGGCCACCTTGCGGCGACCGTGAAATGCTGTAGCCTCACCTCTAACCATGTCTACCTTATTCGACAAAAAAAAGTGCAAAATGCCCCTGTTAAGCTGAATAGCGTCCATGTATTTTTCTGACAGAAGATCTCCTGTCCTTGTTTAAAAAACCTACCACCTGACAGTTCTGTCACCATCAAGAGTGATGTGGTTTAATTTGATCTTACAATTATCTTTATAATCATTTTTTTCAAAACTTCACACCGACGAAATTTTAGGGGGGGGGAGGGTGGGATGATTCGAAGAGGTCGTTTGGGTTTCGTTTCGTATGTGCCCTTGTTACCAAGTGGAGCCTGTTCACATAAGCACAGCTTCAAATTGAAATTTTCAGCACTATAAACAGATTCAGAAAACGGGTCCAGTTTTCTTTTAGAGATACTTTTCACCTGGATAGTTTTCGCGAATTACAGTTGTGCCAAACACTCATTGCTTTCTGCTGACACATCGTAAAGATGAGTGCTCTACGCCACTACACTTATTATTTTGAGGTTGATGACTTCAGTTTCGCATGCAATTTTCCCCTAGACATATAAGCTGAACCCAAAAGGGAGCACCAAAACGTCCCTCTCCATGAAAGAAGCATAATAATCAGCAGCATAAGATTTAGCTTAATATTCACTTCTGTTCCATCTTGCTTAATTGCAGAAATTAAGTTGATTACGTACCAAGCTTCTACCTCCAGTGATGAGAGAGACTTTTATGGCGACAGGCTTTCCGAGAGCAACAAACTGGTCGAAAATTTGTGATGCCAATTCACGAGTGGGAGTCAGAACAAGGGCAAATATTCCGTACGGATCGACTGCTAGCTGAAACATACGCACAATTTACACTCATCAATACTTTTTGAGAGAGCAGAAATCAAGTATCCTAACTTATCAAAAACTGAACCAAAGCTTTGTTAAAGTGACCTCATTCAGAATGGGAAGAACGAACGCGAGAGTTTTGCCTGTTCCAGTTTTCGCACATCCGAGCACATCGTGCCCACTGAGCACCTTTGGTATGCAATTTGCC